ATTCCATTGCTCCATATACACATTGTTATTTTGTTCAAAATTCTTATGTGGTGCTGCAGGCGTTGCACTACTGCATAACTGGACAAAGTATGTTTTCCTTTCTGCTCATGCTTTACTACATCCTACTCATTTTCTGATGGTTTCAGATAGGCCAGCAATTTCCTAATACCAGAAGCCACAACATTGTCACATTATGTGGCTATATATCCTCTTCAGCTTCCAGATTCCCCACCGAGCCACCTCCTTCCCACATGTCCACATACATAAACATACAGGGAACTGACAAGCCCACAAATTATAATGTGTTTAAATTGCATTAATTTAATATGCAATGGTAACTCAATGTCTGGTATAATTAAAAGTCTACCAGGTGCATTTTATATTAATCAGCAGACCAGTTTCTGTTTGTTGCTAGATAAGTCAGTCAGCTGAAGGCAAGCAAAAACTTATAGCAGAAGCTAAGAAGCTGACAGAGGGACTGAGCTGCATGTGCTGAAGATCACCCCAAATGGCTGGAAAACAGGTAGCAGTGCAGAAACAAAGCAAGCCTGTATACGTGTTATAACCATCCATTATATCATGCTCATTGAACATTCACAGGACTCATTAGCAGGTATAGAAGTAGAACTCACGTCTGCCAAGCATTACGTAATTAGATACAAAGCAGAAATACTGCAGATGGGAGAGCGGGGGTGGGGGGGGGGAGGATTATACAATTCCCTGGGACCTTGTACTGTGGCTTAATGGTTCTTGTTCCAAGAGCACATGTGTTCCTGTGTTGTTCCCATTCATTTCACGTCAACAGGATTTGTACAGAGACATTCCATGCAGACTTTTGCATAAGATCTCTTACTCCCTGGGCAATGCCACAGCAGAACCATAAGACAGCATGCGTGCATGCACAACAACGTAACATAAAGAATCAAAGCATATGCTTTTATTTTGTCCTTAGCAGAAATGTCACAAATAATAGTCCATTGTGTAAAATCACACAAGTGGTAAATGCATAACATACATATTAGCACATTGGAACGGGGCATGGACTGCTACTTTTAAACCCAGAAAAGAAACATGTGCAAAGATGGTTTTTGGCATGAGAAATGGAAGCAGACCGGCATGCATTATTATAATAACTATATCGCTAATGCCAAACCACAGATATGAATACCTAGATATAAAGACAGTTTGTTTACAGGAGGAGCCCAGTGACTAGTCTGGGAGGATCTGCTTCTGTGGAGTTGCTGAAGCTAAGGAGATGTCCATCCAATATGTAAACTGGATGGGAATCCTACATAAAAGCAGGGGATAGATATAACAAAGGGATATTTTTAGACAAGACCAATGGTAAGGGAAAGGAATTCACAATTCATTATACTTTTACCTTAAGTCCTTAACTATGGATTCCTATAGCCATGACCTAAACACATAAACACATGAAGCTTCCTTATACTGAATCAGACCATTGGTCCATCAAAGACTGGCAGCAGCTCTCCAGGATCTCAGGTAGGTCTTTCACATCACCTATTTTAACTGGAGATGCTGGGGATTGAACTTGGAACCTTCTGTATACAAAGCAGAGGCTCTTTCACTGAGCCACAGCCTCTCCCAAGTTTGCCATGTGGAAAAAATGGGACTAAGAGCCATCAATTTGCATTACAAAATTATATACAGGGAATTGTATGAAATCATGTGTTGAATCATGTGTGAAATGATGTACTGGGGTTTTGTTACATGTAACAAAGGGATATTTTTAGACAAGACCAAAGGTAAGGGAAAGAAATTCACAATTCATTATACTTTTACCTTAGCTATAGATTCCTATAGCCATGACCTAAACACATGAACACATGAAGCTTCCTTATACTGGATCAGACCATTGGTCCATCAAAGTCAGTATTGTCTACTCAGACTGGCAGCAGCTCTCCAGGATCTCAGGTAGGTCTTTCACATCACCTATTTTAATTGGAGATGCTGGGGACTGAACTTGGAACCTTCTGTATACAAAGCAGAGGCTCTTTCACTGAGCCACAGCCCCTCCCAAGTTTGCTTTGTGAAAAAAATGGGACTAAGAGCCATCAATTTGAATTACAAAATTATATACAGGGAATTGTATGAAATCATGTGTTGAATCGTGTGTGAAATGATGTACTGGGGTTTTGTTACATGCACATACACTAGGACTCTGAAGCTGGATGAGTTTCCCTGTGTGTACACTCCATATAAAAGGTAAAGGTTCCCTTGCTCGAAAGCCAGTCGAGTCCGACTCTAGGGTTGCGATACTCATCTCCGTTTCAAAGCCGAAGAGTGGATTGAAGATGTTTCTGTGGTCATGTGGCTGGCATGACTAAACACCAAGGCGCATGGAACGCTGTTACCTTCCCACTGAAGTGGTACCTATTTATCTACTTGCAATTTCTTGCTTTCGAACTGCTAGGTTGGCAGGAGCTGGAACTAGAGATGGGAGCTCACTCCATCATGCGGCAGCTTGGGTCTTGAACTGCTGAACTACTGACCTTCCACAGCCTGCAGTTCAGCATCTTAACCACTTGAGTCACCGCAGCTCCTACACTCCATATACATGTAACCAAAATATGCAGCCAAAGTGTGAAGTGATCCTAATAGCAGTCTATTGCCTCAGAGGATTGCTAAGTGGGTGAAACCCAGTGAAGCTGCAAATGTCAACTGTGCTCTGTATTTGACCATGACAGAATTAAATAAAGGTTAGACAAAGAAGGGAGGAAGGGAAACTGCACCTGCCTCACTCCTTTTATTCAGGTATGCACACTGTGGGGAGAAACAGACATAGAAGAAAACAAAGGGACCTGGACAGTGGTTTCAGGATTACGAAACTGTGGTGAGATTTCTTTACCTAGGGGCAGCCCAACTATCTCTGTCATCCTGGCAAGTGTAAGGAGGCATTTACTACATATCAAGTCCAGATACATGAAGGATGGTTTGTAAGTTACTCTCTGGAAAAAGTGCATGCGGGTGGTAGGTGCCGGCACACTGGCCCTGACCTCACATATATTCAGTATAGAGTGGAGTTGACTTCCACATAGATGCATCCATATAAATTATTTCGCATAGAACCAGCCAGGGTTTCTGACTGTATGGATAAAGCTTATGTATGTACACTTACAATGCCATCCTAAGAGGAGTTACACCCTTCTAATGCCATTGACTTCAATGGACTTTGATGTAATTCATCTTAGGATGGCATTGATCATCCTTTGTGCACATTATACTGAACATATGTAGTGGTTAAGACACTGAACTGCAGACTGGAAGGTCGGTAGTTTGGCAGTTTGAGACTCAAGTGCTGCGTGACGGAGTGAGGTCCCATCTCTGGTCCCAATTCCTGCCAAACTAGCAGTTCGAAAGCAAGAAATTGCAAGTAGATAAATAGATACCACTTCAGTGGGAAGGTAGCAGTGGTCCGTGCGCCTCGGCATCTAGTCATGCCGGCCACATGACCACAGAGATATCTTTGGACAGCGCTGGCTCTTCGGCTTGGAAACGGAGATGAACGCTGCATCCCTAGAGTTGGATTCGACTGGCTTTTGAGCAAGGGAAACCTTTATATTTACCTATTACCAGGGAGTGCAACTCTTCTTCCTTCTGTGCATGTTAATTCTCCCCAGGAGTGTTGCTGGTGAACACTCCTCACGTGGTCATTTGTATTACTTGTGAGGGAGGTGTTTATTTTTGGAGAAGCAGATTAACAGGGACAAGAAAGGTTTTCTAATGGAAGTATTCATTTCCTATCTTTTTCTATTCCAAGAGGGGCCATGGCAGCAGGATATCATCTCAAGTTCATCATCTGGCATCTCCTTTTTAAAACTGGATCAGGTTGTAGGGAATGTGAAAGACTGTTGCCTGAGACCCAGGAGAGCAGCTGCCAGTCAAGAGGGTTGGATGTGACAGATCTGTTCCACTCATAGTGCTCCTTTCCGTTTCTCGACTTGAGCCTAGTGGACAAGCTTGTTGTGTCAGGGGAGGGTGCCTTCTGCTGGAGAAGGAAGCAGAAAAGACTCAAGTTATTCAACACAGCGTAGATAATACTGACCTCCACGGACCAATCGTTTGACAAGGTATAAGGCAAGTTTATGTGTATTCATACCCATTATCACTTAGACACTGTGAGCCTGTGGCAGATATGATTTTGTTGGGATGGTCATTAATTGTCCTAAGCCGACAGAACATGGTGGAGTATAGGTGTACACCAACCATTGCCATGTTTTACCACACACTTGCCCCCTCCGGTGACCTGATCCCTTAACATCATATGGAAGACTTGTGATATGGAGGTCAACCACCCTAGTAACCAAGATCAAGTTAATTCGTGCCATCATATTCCCCACTAATATGTACAGGTGTGAAAGCTGGACATGAATAAAGCTGACAGGAAGAAAGTAGCGTTGAAATGTGGCGTTGGAGGAAAGCTTTAGGGATACCATTGGCAGCCAAAAAGACAAAGAAGTATGTTCCAGATCAAATCAAGCCTGAACTCTCCCTAGAAGCTCAAATGACTAAACTGAGGCCATTGAGCTTTGGTCACATTCTGAGAAGAGTCACAAACGCTGGGAAAACAGGAAGCCCCGACGTGAGATGGACTGACTCAATAAAGGAAGCCACCGGCCAGCCCTCAGTTTGCAAGACAATGACAGGCCGTTTGGGAGGACATTAATCCATAAGGTCGCCATAAGTCGGAAGCGCCCTGGCTGCACTTAGAGCCCACCCAAACGCGGGGTGTCGGGGCTTCCCGCCCCCCAGTGGGTTTGCTCAGCCGCCTGACACGCGCCAGCGCGGACACAGCCTCAGGACACGGCCGCCCCACTTCCAGGAGGGAAGGAAAGCCGGGACTCTGCGGCTGCCACCGCCCCCTTCCCCTCCTCCTCCTGCGGCGGGCAGGACGCCTGCGCCTGGCGCTGCCTTCGGAGGAGGGCGGAGGCGCATCCCAGGCGCAAGGAAGCCGCCGACCGGGGAGGGGAACAACATGAGCGGCGAGCGCTGAGTCTCCGCCTCGCCTGCTTCGCTCGTGGGCGCGCGGGGAGGGAGGGAGGCGGACAAAGAGCCAGCGGCTTCCGCCTTCGGCTGACTGTCGCCGGCATCGGCATGGGGGAGAGGCTCCGAGGCCAGCCCGGCGTTTGCTCGGCGGCGGCCGCCGCCGCGACGACGACAGCCGCCGCCATCCCCACCTGCTCGCTGCACAACGGGCTGCTGCACAACGGCTTCCATTCGCCGCCCAGCAATGGAGAAGCGCCTCACTCGCTGCTCTTCCGCCAGGACCTGCCCCTGCCTAGCCACGGCTCCCCGGCTAAGAAATGCAGGACGCGCCGGAGGATGGATTCGGGCAGGAAAAACAGGCCGCGTAAGTAAGGTGTGTGGAGGGCCGCCTTTTTCTTTCTTTCTTTTTTAGGTGTCGTGCGGCGGCGGCGGCGGCGTTGCATTGCGAGCGTGCCAAAGGGCTGAGCGGCAACGCCGGGAATGGCTCTTTCTCTCCTTCCGCTCATAGAGACGCCGCGGGGGTCATTGCACACAGACCCCCTCGTAAGGTGGCGGGAAAGGGGGAGAAACCGCCTTCGGAATGAGGCGGGGGTGCAGGTGCCGCGCTTTGCCCGCCCTCTGGCACGGCGCGCTCACGTGCATGCTGTCACTGGGCCAGCGCTGTGGTGGGATCCAGTCTTGAGCGGCAATGGCTTCGTGAGCAAAGTGGGTTATCAAACCCCTTAATTAAAAGGGAGCAATAAGAAAGATTTTTTTTGAAAACGAACATCTTAAGACATTTCATCGATAGGGATCTGCCTATTAAGAATCGCAGGAATCCCTTCCTAAGTTCCTCCCATTATTTTTGCTCCAAGCCCGAGAGAACCCTTCCTGGGCTCCTCCACCGATTCGTGGTGAGCTACGACCAACCTCTTTTCTCAGCTGCTCAACAATCAGCTCATTAAATATTGTCTGGGGCCAGCCAATAGCGGCGCGCTGTCTGGGAACACACCCACTGATACCACGTAGGCTGGTCCCGCCGTTGGCCAATGAGGTGGCTGGGAGGGAGTGGGTTTGTCTGGGTTTCTACACCGCCGGGTGCAGAAGGCGAAAACGAGAGATTTCTCAATTTTATAGCCCGCATAAATGTGACCTTGTTAAACCGGAGACCAGTTGTTGGGGATGTGAAAGTCGCACAGGCTTGGGTTGCTGCTGGCAGAGAAACCTGCGCCTGGGTCCTTTCAAAACTCAGAATGAAACTCATAATTGATGAGAAACACTGTAAGTAAATGACATGGGTAGCTAAATTGAAGATTTTAGACTTCTTAGTAGCAGAGTGCCTCTCTCTCCTGTTCCTCTCTTTCTCTCTTTCTTTCATTAAATATACAAGATTATCATCGGAACGGAAAGAGTTTGATCTCAAGTGAGTTAACACATGCCTTTGAGTATTAAGATATAGTAGATGAGAGCCCTCTCATACCTATGATTCTCTATGAAATCTAAGTTTAATTTACATTTCATTGAACTCCCTAGTTCAAGAAATAGTGTTGTGCATCTGATCAGCACATCTGTTTCTTCTTTCCTTAGGAGATTTTAAAGTTCCGTGTACTCTGAGCGCATGATGTAGTATTAAATAAGGTTTGTAAGTATGTACAATGCCTCTGAAATAACTGTGATAATGAGATTTCCTGCCTGATCCCGACTTTGTTTATTTGGCTACCTTTTTGAACAAGTTGCTGACCTAGCAAATGCTCTGTCATGCATGCCTATGGAGGGAAAATATTTAGAGTGTACTGTTACTCTCATTACATTGTATTTTGACTATGCATGATGAAATATAGATTGTATGTACGTTTTGAAGAGTTCACAGGCATACAGTTGATTGAGAGAGGATAAACTGGTTTCTACACCAGAGCTGGGGACTGGAATTGCACATGCACTTGAAGTGTCCATAGTGTGTACTCTGGTCCTGAGTTCAAATCCCTGGATTTGTTATGACTAGCAACTTAAAGATACAAACTGCATGTGTTAAAGGTAGATATTTTGCCATTAATTACGTGCTTTTATGATGCAAGACGTACTTGTGAAATCAGTGCTGTTTAATTGCACTGATTTCAGAGGCAAGGCCTGCCTTACAGAAGCACCTCATGCAACCTTTGATCTGACTTAGACATATTAAGCATGTTAAGGCAGTGTTTTGAAAGGTGCAACTCTTGTGAAACAGGTGGAGTAAGGCTGGGTATACAAGACTACAGGTACGTTCAGGCACAAAAGCATAGTTTATTATTTGTCCCGGAGCTGGTGCCTATGCTACTTTTTAAGTTCCTTGGCAGTAATAAAAATAAAATTAGAATATAATTTATTTTGTTCCTTGGCAGTAATAAAAATAAAATTAGAATATAATTTATTTTGTTAACTGAATTCCTTTTTTTGCACGTCTGTAGTTAGTGGCCTCTTTTCCATTGAAAATATTTAGTTTTTTGAGATATAAATGTCTCCTACTTCTAGCAAAACCAGCAGTTCTGTACAGAGGTGATATTCAACTTCTGCTGCCTCTCCATGCAGCCTTCAAACCTGGTATCAGAAAGCAAAACTGGAGAATTTTTAAGTCTATTTTGGCAGAATTACTGGTAGTATCATGAATAATTAAATCTACAGTGCCATTCTAAACAGAGTTACACCTTTCTAAGCCCGCTGACAAGAGTGTAACTTTGCCTAGGATGGCACTGCTAGTCTAGTAGTTGTGTGAAATAGATATGAAAAGATTGGGCCCATGCATCTTTGCTGATCTCGTTAATCCCAGTCTGCATTTGAATGTCAGATTTTAAAAAGTATATATTTGGTTTACGCAAACAATTTAAACCACTGTGGTTTACATCCTTTTCTAAAACGTCTAGGCATATAGAAGAGATGACAAGCCTGTCCTATCATAGTTTGTACACCTCTGCTGTTTTCTGCCTGTTGAAGCATAAAAACAAAGATATGCATAGCACGCCACCATAAAATAAAGAAGCTGTGCAGTGGTAAACAGTCCCATCTTTCCGGTTTGGTATGACTGTCAATGGGAGCCTCTGAATGAGCCTGCTAGGTATATGAGTTAAAGGTGCCTCCATGCAAGTTGCACGGGCTGAGTGTGTGGACACAGTCTGCTCCTGAGAGGTCCTGATTAAGTCAGGGTGTAGCAAGCCTTGAAACTGAAGCGGTTTCTCTCCGATCATTCACTCTCTGCATGGCACAAAAGTAATCACCAAAACTTTTGATTGCAAGAAACAAGTTAGCCAAGTTATGATGCCAAGTCGTACACATGCACAGTATTTCTAATAAGGGCATGGCAGTCAGACAGTGTGGAAACAGAGACTTCTGAAGTACTTCTAGCCCATGCCAAGGTATGTTGAAGAAGTTCAAGGATATCAGTATATTTACTCTTATTGCCAGATTTACAGGTTAGACTTTGGAACCTTGGAGGTTTGTCACAGATCATCTTACAAGTGTACACCTAAGTCATAACAAAATAGTTATGATCTGTTTTAAGCTCAAAATTCTTGTTTTCTAAAGGGCTTTACATAGTCTCAGAAACACCTATGCACTTTACTGACGGTATTTATTTTTCTATGCTTTTACAATAAATAAAGTGTGGGGGGGGGCTGTAAAGACATGAGGGAGAGGGAATCCCATTCTTCCTGTACCCTTGTCAATCCCCCTGTCCTGCAGATTCCTGGAGAATGTTCCCAACTCTGCTGCGATACTGATCCTACACACAGACAGAGAGAGAGATCCTGGTTTAAGATACATTACAGCCATACAGCACTTCCTGAGCAACTGGAGAAATTGAAAGCATGTTGTCCAGCAGAAGTAGACTGTGATGTTACGTAGCTGCAGTTACTTATGGGTGTATTCCCCTCTGATCTTTAAATTCTTAAAAGTCTATTTTTACAAGGCAATCTGTGAAAATTTACTCCCGTCTAAGCCCACTGAAATCAACTCTCCACAGGCTTGCATTGTTAACATGCAGGGTCATTGAAAAGCTGAATGCTAAACGGAATACTTTTGTGAACCTGTATGAAAGGGCACCCTACAAAGTACCTTAACAGGAAAAGTAGAGATACAGAGTCAAGCCCAGTGGTATACACAAAATCACCTCCCAGGCTAGGATGTTGTTGTCCATTCCTAGGGGTGTGCGCTCAGTGTATATGGAGCTGAATAAATACCTGAAAAATACATTATTGGCATCTAATCTGATTTGGATGAAGGAAAGGGGAGGGGGTTGGAAGGCCCCCCTCAGAAGAAGTCCTCCCAGCTGGTTCTTAGTGCCATGGGGAGAGAAAGATATCCTCATATGCATCAGATCCTGGGGCTTTTTCTGTGGGGTGATTTAAAACCCCTGCAGAAGGAACCCTCCTAGATGGGTCTGGGTGGCGCAGGGAGAGATAGACCTTCCTGCACAGGCCAGATCCTGGGGCCAGCTTCTTCTGCGGGGTGGTTTGAACCCCCTGCAGAAGAAGCCCTCCCAGCCGAGACTCGGTGCCATGGGAAGACCTCTCTCTCTCTCCGCACTTGCCACATCCTGGGGCCAGCTTCTCCTGACCCATGGTTTAAACACGATGCAGGAGAAACCTAATATGTTTAAGGGGATGGCCCCTTTAAATGCATTTGGAAGCCCAGCCTAGAGCAAACCTGGAAGGGTGAACCTTCTAGGTTCACTCCCTGCGTGGCTTGCAAAAGGGCCCATCCCTTTAAATGCCTTGCTGAATAAATTTGGCTACCCAATGATTTCTCGAATCCCGATATCATACCAATAATGGGATTCAGGGCTATCGGGAAAACCAATTTTTTTGGGGTTCAATATACCTGAACCTGAAAAATACCGGGTTTTTTTGTGCACACCCCTATTTATCAACTTGGCCATCCCAGCAGTAAACCTCTACAATTTCAATATTATAAAATAGCAACTTTGCATTGCACCTTGTGAAAACATATATAAATAAATACATTTCCTACACAGAAAGTACAGTTGTACTTTTTGAGACTATTTAAAGGACGCTGAAAAACAAGAATTCTGGTCTTAATACTTAATCATAGTTATGTTGTTTTGTCTTTGAATGCTCGTTAAGTGGATCTGTGACCAATTTCTTCCTCATCCATATCCATTCAAGCATAGAGTGTTGGACTTGGATCAATGTCTTTTTAATTTGTTTTGCTCTGAGTCATTTTTGGGAGTTGTAGTATGTGAATGCATTTCTTGCTGTACCCTGCCCATCACAGCAAACTCTTCTCTTAAACATTTCTGGAAACTGGGGGACAACCATCAAAAGTCACTGGACGTGAGCATTCAATAAGTATCTAAGGGGAGAGCAGTCTGAGCTAGTTACAGTTTTGGAGCTGCTT